CAGCTCTGCCTGTGCACGCCAACCCCCTCCCCCCTATTATTCCAGCCCATGTCCCCAGCCAGGCAAGTCCCAGAGGCTGTTTAGTGCCTGTCAACAGAGGGCACCAGGAATTCCTTAGCTAAAGCTCATGGCTGGAGAATGGACTCAAGGTCTGAAAAAGGCCTTTTCCTCCTCAGACTAGTCTGATTCCTGAGCACCCCTCCCAGTGTTCAGCTGGCGGGGGGTATTGCATGCTTGGGGAATGGCCCCTGTGGGTCTTGGAAAGGTTCCCCTCCCAGCCTGCAGAAGGTGACCTGCCAACAAGCAGTGGGGAAAGCCCTCTTTGCAGGGGAACCTGCTGACCAGGGATTTATCCATGGAGCTGTTTCCAGTGGACATCGCTTCTTCCAGGGATGATAGGCACAGACTTGAGCTTGCAAAAGCTGATGCCCTTTTAGGCAGCGTGTGGAGAGGCATCACAACATGGAGCAGGCTCTGGGTTGACCACACCTGAGTGATTGCATCCAGGCTGGGCACGCTGCTACCGGCAAGATAGTGACACACTGGAAAGAGATCAGGGAAGAACAAGCAGGATGATCGGGGAGCTGGAGGGACTGGACTCAGAGGGAAGAATAAATGAGATAAATGGGCCGGATTCACCTCTGCCCTGCCCCTTGGTCAGTTACTCCAGTGCAGGGTGGATGTAAAACCCTCCTGCTCTGATTTGGGAGCACCCACTTTGTACTCATTTCACAGGGGTGTAAGTGACGACATGAGGTGCAAGTGTAGCAGACCCACGTCCAATTTGCCTGACTCCGCTCGGGCTCAGATTTTTAATAGTATTTAGGCATTCCTTTGTTCGGTGTTGCTACGCCTAACTCATTCAGGTGCCTCAGTTCGGCCGACTTTCAGTGAGACCTAGGCAAAGTCAGCTAGGCGTGGTGGCATCGAGCGGAGCAGTGCCAAAATAGCTTTCAAAAGCGGGCCCTACAGCCTTGCCTCGACTAGGGGGAAAGGTGCTTTTTTCAGCTGAGCGCGCTCCCCTCGCTTGCAGACCTCACTTGATGGGTTAAGCTAGCCCCATTACGGTCTAGGCAAAGCCTGCGGAGAGGTGTGAGAATGGGCACCAGTGAAGAGTCTATACCTCAAGGAGGGAGAGGAATGGGAGGGGAAATGTAGGCTGGACATCAGGGCAGTATCCCTGCCATGGAGGGCTGTGGAATTGTCTCCCAAGGGAAGGGTGGAAGCCTTGCCTGGGACGTTTAAGGCGAGACTGGTCGTAACCCTAGGAGAATATCTGTAAGGACCAGGCCCGCGCTGGCTGTGACTGGGGGAGGGGTGGGGCTAGCTGGGCCCGTCTTGTCCTTTTCCACCTCTAACCCCTGGGATCGGTGCATTCCCCTCTGCACCCTGTAGAGTTCTCGCGCCCGGTCTCCGTCAGCGAGAACCACGACGGAGGGGCGGAGTCCGAGAGGCGGGACGAGGACAGCGAGTACGGCGGGTGGCGACGCTCGGAGGCGGAGGATGAGGTTGAGGAAGTGACGACCCCGACGAAAATCAAGGAGCTGAAGGTACAGGACCCGCTGGGCGGAGACCATGAGGGTGTCGGGAGCTGGCTTGGAGAGGTGCCCTCTATATGGATTGGCCAGGGCAAGCCCCAGCCTGCACCTG